TATATATATATGTCATATATATATATATATATAGGGGAGCTACAAATATACTGTACATTTATTTGCAAATGTATTTTTGATGTATTATTTTGATGTCATGCTCTATTAAAGAAATTATTTAAATGGTGGCCTGTCCCACCTTCTTGATCTTTTCGACTGTATCCAATTATTAAAATCATTTAACAATATAACATTTTATCACTAATATACTTTTGATTTTTTTTTTTACCCCACAGGATCTGAAGTTGGTAAACAGCTATCTGAAGTCCTGTTTTCTCATCTTTCCCAACTATAACCTGGGTCATGGATTGATGGAGATGGCCTATAATGAGTATATCAATGAGTATTACGCCAAGATAGGTGTGTTTATGCGTTCTCCATCTCAGGGCACTGTTGATGACTGTTCTTTGCTCTTTTCAGATGGTTAAATGCCTTTTCTTCCCTGCAGGCCAGTTTGATAAGGTGAAGTCTCCATTTGAATGGGATATTGTGACACGGGGACTGGTGGCAATGACCATTGAGGGTTTTGTTGGCTTTCTCATTACAATTCTATGCCAGTACAACTTCCTCAGGAAAGCCCAGTGAGTGTGATTTTGTATACAGTATGTGTGTGACAGATTAAAATTAAAGTGTTCTAAAGGTCACCGTTTTCATCTCGTTGAAGGAGAATGCCTGTCAACAGTCAGCCAGTTGAGGATGATGATGTTGATGTGGCCTGTGAGAGACGCAGAGTGCTGAGGGGAGATGCTGACAATGACATGCTGAAGATCGACAACCTAACAAAGGTCAGACACTCCATGACATTTTAAAGAGGTCATATGATGCGATTTCAAGTTTTCCTTTCTCTTTGGAGGGTTACAAGCTGTTCGTGAATAGATAAGATCCCTAAAGTTGCAAAGACTAAAGTCTCAAACCCAAAGAGATATTCTATATAAAAGTTAAGACTCGTCCACGGCCTCCTAAAACGCCTCGTTTAAACACGCCCCCACATGTCTACGTCACGATGTGGGAAGATTTGCATAACGCCGCCCAAA